TTTATTCGTCTATATCTTCCAGTAACATTCATAAAAATTTCAACATTGAGATGAAGATAGATGCATGTAGATGTGGTTATCCCTATGTATCGAAGTCCTCACGGACGAATTTGAATCCATGAAGAAGATTTTTCACTTGTCCACGATACTAGGATGTAGGTGATGTGAATTCTTTGACTGCTGGGACCCTCCAATGTGTTAAAGATTGAAGAAGCTGATCCCTGAATTTCTACGGGCCGGGAGGGTGATGAAATGAACACCCTCCATTTAACAAAATTCTAGTGCGTGTAAGACTTGGCTATTAGAATTTATATGTAAAGTTTTTGTAAAGTGGGTATGTAACTAGATCTGTGTTAGGAGTGAGCTCAGATGTCGGGTATATGTTTTGGGATGTTGGTTTTCGAGTTTGAAATCGTGTGTTATTTGTGGTCTTATGACTTATTTTCTAGTAATAAAACATTTAGAATGTGTTTGGTAGAGATTTTTGGGAGAAAAATTGATTTTGAATAGTGATATGATGGGAAATGTGTGGTTGAAAAAGAAGAAAAAATTATTGATGTGATGGAAAATATTATTTTATTGAAGAATCTGTGGTTGAAAATGAGAATTGAAATGTGTGGTTGAAAAAGAAGAAAAAAGTATTGATGTGATAAAAATATTATTTTATTAAAAAATGTGTGGTTGAAAATGAGAATTGATTTACTGTAGAAAATGAGAATTTGTACCAAACGGGCCCTTATTATTCAACAAATTTAGCCCTGTTTTTTCAATTCTCTTTCAATGCAAAGGACGTGCATTTCCCAATTGTTTTGTAGATGGTGCATTGCGGGTCCCAAACATTTTGGATGAGTTGTTGCAAAGGTCCCAAACCTTTTAATAAGTCGCAGTGCAGGTCCCAAACCTTTTAAAATAGTTGTAGAAAATGTCCAAAACCTTTTGACTTAGTTGCAGCATAAGTTCCAAACCCTTTGTAAGTATATAAGAAATGGTTTTCATTTAATTATGACCATTTTTACGCTTGGTTCACTTCCAAATTACACAAAACACAATTCAAACTAAAACAATCACTAAAAAAAAATTTATTCAAACTTTGTTTTCCATTAGAATATTCAGTTGTACATCTTCAAAAGTTCATCATACAAAAAGAGGTTTACCCATTTTCCACATACAAATCCCAATACCCAAATTTTTCAAGCACTAGAATTTGTTGAACTTCCATCTCTCCCCATATTTCATGGGAATTCAGGGATCACCTCTTTTGATCTTTCACATATTGGATGATTCCACCAGTCAAATAAGTTACATCCATCCATATCATGGAATCGTGAGCAAATGAAAAGACCGTGCCGTCGTTGGTGGTCGAGCTGTCAATGGTAACCAATGTGTTGCAAAAGGAAATGAGCCTCGGATTGGTGAGAATCGCCCTCGAATGCGAAAAACAAATCCAAAGGGAAAAGATAAAGCTCCTGGAGGAGCCATTATGGACAATGTATTCTAATGGAAAGAAAATTGGTTATGGTGTTAAAAGGGATGCCACGGAGGAGGATTTGCATGTAATGGAGGTGTTCAAGGCGGTGTTGATGGGAGCCGGTGTGTTACTAGGACGGTCGGAGGCAGAGGGACCGGAAGGCGAGATGGCCTATATTTGAGCACATTTCGAACATATTGTGGGATCGAAGGACTCGAAGACACTTTACGAGTCCCGATAGAAACAACGGACCTGAGTTGAGTATTTTCTTTGTTAGAGTATGATGATTAGTCCGTGTTAGAGACATTTACGCAGAGGAAAAATGTATATTAGGGAAGATCAAAGATCTTCAACATACACAACATATTGTGCATGTCGATCCATAGTATTAAACAAGATTCGACCCTAGATCAACGAGGATTTAATTTTCTTTCTTTTCTTAAAAAAAAAAAAGTGAGCAAATGAAAAATCTTCTTCTTGGGTTAAGTTCATCAATGATCATCTGCACATGGTAATTACATCTACATACATTCATCTCTATGCTGAAATTTTTATGACAATTATTGGAAGAGAGACGAACATATAGGGAAAAAAAATGGAGGGAAATGAACTTTGATTTGTATAGTAAATGAGATGAAATATGGGAGTGACGAAAATGTGCTGATTTAAATTAGTCAAAATATCCAAATTTTCCATTTTTTAAACTAACGGAGGATTTCACATTTTCCGTCATTTTGGATTCCAGGTGCGAGTTTTTGAAAAGTTTGAAAACATTGGTGGAACAAACCGTAGATTGAGTTAAAGCCTACAAAAAATAAAAAATAATAAAAATGGTTTGAGATTGCTTTTGCAATTCTCCATATAGAATATTTAGGATTTAGCTCATATTTGACAATTATTATTTGGAAATTCTTTTTTTTTTTTCATGTTCATTTTCAACCACACGTTATTTTTCTATTTTTTAACCATGCTCCTCAAAATTACTATTCAAAATATTATTTTTCCAAGTAATGGTTGTCAAACTAGGGCTTAATGAATTATGAATTAGGTCTATTAAATATTCGAAAACATTTATCTATGTCAACTTGCTAATTATTTGACTATCATTTTTTTTTAAAGAATATCACATTTTCTAACTTTCCAATTTTAAGTTTTAACAATATTTACCATGACATTTTTTGAAGGAAAGTAATCTCATCGACATAAAAAAAAAAAATGAAATAAAGAAAATTATTTATTGTATTTAATTAAATAACAATTTCAAAATAATGTAGATTAGCACAATGAAAAATAAATATTTACCTTAATGAGATTTTTAATTTTTTTGAAAATACGGGGAGGTCTATGCAATTGTCATGAATTGAATTGCTCTTTCGCAGCTGCTCCTTGTCACCACTTCAGACAAATTCTCCCTAAAGGCTTTTGCGTGATGAAGTTTGCTGACTCAATCTCTGCATCCTTTTCTTCGCCAAAAGCTCCGATTTTTTACTTATGGGATGCAGTTTTGCATCTTCACAAATGCGCAGTCCACCTCCTTTAATGTTTCGTCGTGTGTTGTCAACATTTTATACGGTACCCATTACATGTTCGACGTTATTCCCAGAAAAGAAACCTGTACTTTATTCTCTCCGATTTCGGTCAACTCAGAGGCGGATCTAGGCCTGGGCTATACTACAGCCCATGCCAACCTCAGCCTAAGTCCATTTGTTATTATTTATTGGGAAAATTACATAGTTCCAAGTGTTTGATATTTGGAATTCAAAAATCAGGAACCAAATTTTATTATTCAAAAATCAGGTACTATATATTAATACCCTAATCCTAATTTATCACTCACTCTCAACTTCCTCACCTCTTTCTCTCTCTCGAGCCTCCCCTCCTCTTCCTCTCCCCGCCGTCTCTCTCTATCCTCCCCTCCTCTTCACTTTCTCCTATCCCTTTCTCCACGCTCTTTGCCATCGGTCTGATTGCAACCGCCACCGCAGCTTTGCCGACGAGACACCACCGCTGTATATTCACTACAAGCGATGCACAGATGCCATCACCGCAACTTTGCCGACGAATCATCATATTTGAATCATCTGTTTGATTTATAAATATAATAGGGAAGTTTGAGATCGTTCTCTGCCATTTGAGCTTGATAGTGCTGTGTCATCTAATCTTTGCTTTATTTTTTATAAACCTTTCTATCTCAAGGTGAAACCACCATCAGTCATAGATCAATGCTTTCCTATATTCCATAACTATTCATATGAGTTTCTTATTGACTTGCTGCTGCTTTATTTATCAGTACCAAGTTTGGGTCTAAAGGTATTTGAAAAATAATAGTTCAATTGATAGAGAACTTTGGAATGTAACTTTTAGTGATTCTCCCATAGTTTAGTTTTAAAATCACCCATAACTATATTGCATATTACAAAACCATGAAAGGTCTCTCTCTACCATGACGACCCATTTTGGGTATCGCCGTCAACCATACTTATTTATCTTCATTGTTTCCAGATTATCCAAGAAAGCAATGATTGTATGTCAGCTGGTTGCCAAATTTCCTTTTTTTACTGTAATGGGTTAAAGTTAGGCTTCTATGAGAATATGGACGGAGGTAGAAATTGGTTATGGCGGATACGGGTGAGTGTGAGGAGGTGAAGAGTGGCATACTGTTGATTGCAGATGCCATCGCAACTTCGCCAACGAGAACCGCCGTAGTGTTGGTGACGGTGATATGGTGTGTGATCGATATTTGGTGTATGTGACCATTTACTTGATTATGTGACCTACTATTTGATGGTATGTGACCAAATATTTGGTAATCTGTGACAAGTTACTCAACTGTAACCTAAACATTTAGTAATATGTGATTCAAAAATAATCTATGACCAACCAATTTAAAAATCTATGACCGACGGATAAATTGTGACCAATTAATTTAATAAATTGTGACCAATAAATAAATTGTGATCTATAATTATCTATCTGTGATAATTAATTGTATAACTGTGACTTTATTATATCTAATTAATAAATATTTTTAATTAATAATATATATATATACTTGAATTTTAAATTTTCAAAGTATAAACCTGATCTGTAAATTGTGTAAACCGTACAACGGATTTATGATTTTTCCCCAAGCCCAAAACAAAAGAAGTTAAAACCCAGCTCAACCCCTAACTTTAGATACGCCTCTCTCACCCTCTCTCACAGTCTCTGCTCCCCGTTTCTTTCATGGTCGCGGAAACACCGGATACACCGAGTCAGCCCTCAAATTTTTTGAGATAGGCTCAATTTCAAGAAATCTGCTTCTCCATTGTTTCAAGGTAGGCGATAAACTTGGTTGATATTTATAGGATTGGTTATTTAGATTTTTTTTTTCATGTAATATTTAGCCAAATTGGATATTGATTTTCTGTTTAATATGTATAAATTTTTACCCATTTCTTACTAATTTTTACTCAAATACCCAGGGGCGGAGCCATTCCTTGGGAATTTGGAAATTTTCACAGGCTGAAATTTTTTGGCCGTTATTGAGGAAATGGGTGTTGATACGGTTGCTAAATTGAAACCAAACATTTCAGGGAAAAGAGCATTTCGTCCAAGTTCCCGTGCAAAATATGTTACAGAACGGTAAATTTTACCCTCAATCTTCCCACATTTGTTGATATAGTTTCATCTCACTGCTTGATTTGTTTAGTACTATATGGTTCTGATGATTATGCATTTGACATGAAAAATCCATTGTTAATCTAGTCCTGTTGTGATTTTTTTTTTTGGATTTCACATTTTGCTGGTTTTGAATTCTAAAATGTAGAAATCTGGACTTATGTATTCTTCTATATATCACATCCCACTAATTATTTGAATTTTCTGAGCAGAACAGATTATGATAATTCATATACTTTTTTAAAGAAGAAACAGCGAGAATTTAGTTGTAATCCTTGCAAACAGAAGCCCACTTTACTAAAGTTTGATGGGCATTCCTTAAATGTTCAGAATCAAGCATTTTCTATTAGGATTTGGAGTGATTTATGTCCTAGATCATGTCAATAATTATCAGTCTCTTTTAGCAAAAACTCAGGTTAGCATTAAAAATTTCCATTTTTTGTTTATTTGTGTTGTTATACATTCTTTCCATCTATTCAGAATATATATATATATATATTGTGTGTCATTTACTAAAAAATCTCTTGCATTGACTTTCAGTCTTCCTTATCAAAAATCCTGGATCCACCTCTGCCAGTCGGCGCATTGTGCTTCTGTATTGAAAACATGTGAACAAGCTGCTGGAGATTTTGTTAGCGTGAAAAGTCCGAATTTTCGGTTAGAAAGGTTGCCACCCAAAAATTTGTATACTATTAAATCAGAGGTTTTAATCGATCAAGAATGGAAGAATACAAGCCCGAGGGCCAGTTTTGTAAAGGTGAATGGGAAAGGGGAGCTTAAGTGGTATTCAGAAATGCTGCGAAATTGTGCTGCAGACTTGTGTTTGAGAGAGGGTAGAGCGATTCATGGGCAGATAATTAGGAATGGGACAGAGCCCGATTCACACTTATGGGTTTCTTTGATTAATTTTTATGCAAAGTGTGGAGCTTTGGTTTTTTCGCGTCATGTGCTTGATCAAATGCCTATAAAGGATGTGGTGTCATGGACTGCTTTAATATCAGGATTTGTAGCTCTAGGGCACGGGACTGAAAGTTTTGAATTGTTTTGTGAGATGAGGAGGGAGAATGTGAGGCCTAATGAGTTCACTTTGGCAACAGTATTGAAAGGTTGTTCAGTTTGTTTAGATTTGGAGTCTGGGAAACAATTGCATACAAATGTGATTAAAATTTGTGCACTTTCAGATGTGTATGTTGGTTCCACTTTAGTTGATCTTTATGCTAAGTGTGGAGAGATGGAATATGCAGAAAATGTTTTCCTTATGATTCCAGAACAAAATGATGTGTTGTGGAATTCCTTGCTTAATGGTTATGCTCAAGCGGGTGATGGAGAGGCAGTTTCGAGACTGTTATGCGGAATGACAAAATCAGAGACGAGTTTGAGTAACTATACATTGTCTATTGTTTTAAAAGGTTTGGCTATCTCAGGCGATTTTAGAGTTGGCCAGGCTGTCCACTCAATGGCCATTAAGACAGGAGGTGAACATGATGATTTTATATGTTGTAGCCTTGTTAATATGTACTCAAAATGTGGGCTAGCAAAAGATGCACTTAGTGTGTTTAAGAGGATGGCCAATCCTGATATTGTAGCATGGAGTACTGTCATTAGTATCCTCGATCAGCAAGGTCAGAGAAAAGAAGCAGTGGAGCTATTTCACTTGATGAGGCATTCTGGTGTGAGGCCTAATCAGTTTACCTTTGCCAGTCTCATTAGTGCTGTCACCGATCTTGGTGACTTGAGTTATTGCCAAAGCATCCATGCCTGTGCTTACAAATTTGGTTATGAATCTGAAGATTCAGTCAGTAATGCATTGATTGCAATGTACATGAAATTTCAAGCAATCTATGAGGGATATCGTGTCTTTAATGCAATGACTCATTGGGATGTAGTTTCGTGGAATGCCCTCTTATCAGGATTTCATGAAGATCAAACATCTAATCAAGGACCCAAACTTTTCAATCACATGCTTGTTGAAGGTTTTAGGCCCAACATGTACACATTTATCAGCATTTTAAGGTCTTGTTCCAGCCTCTTAAATGTCAAATTCGGGAAACAAGTGCATGCACATATAATTAAAGAAAATTTTGAGTATGATGGGTACATAGGCACTGCTTTGATTGACATGTATGCCAAGTGTGGGGTCTTGGAAGATGTAGAAGTTGTTTTTGGAAGATTGAATGAGAAAGACATCTTTGCTTGGACTGTTCTCATTTCAAGTTATTCACAGGCTGACCAGGGAGAAAAAGCTGCTTGGTGCTTCAATCAGATGCGGAGAGAAGGTGTTGAGCCCAATGAGTTCACTCTAGCCAGCTGCTTGAGGGCTTGCTCTGGGATAGCAAGTCTTGAGAATGGGCGGCAGCTGCATTCCTTGGTCATTAAGGGTGGGCAGTCTTTTGACTTGTTTGTAGCCAGTGCATTGATAGATATGTATGGAAAATGTGGGTGCATCGATGATGCAGAGACATTATTTTATGACATGGAATCAGGAGATACTGTGTTATGGAACACAATTATATGTGAATATTCTCATCACGGGCAGGGTGACAAGGCTCTTCAAGCATTTAGGACAATGATTGAAGGAGAATTGCTTCCTGATGCAGTCACTTTCATTGGAATCCTATCTGCGTGCAGCCACATGGGATTGATCGAGGAAGGAAGGAAGTACTTTAACTCAATTAGTGAATTGTATGGAATTTCTCCGTCTATCGAGCATTATGCTTGCATGGTTGACATACTCGGTCGAGCAGGCAAATTTGATGAGGTTGAAAGGTTCATTAAGGATATGAAACTAACTCCAAATGCCTTGATCTGGGAAAATATTCTTGGGGCATGCAGAGTTTATGGCAATGTAGAATTAGGTGAAAGAGTGGCAGAAAAACTTTTTGAAATCGAACCTGAAACAAATTCAAACTATGTACTATTATCTAACTTGTATGCTACCAAAGGGAGGTGGGATGCCGTTGCTAAGGTTAGGACTTCCATGTCCAGTAAAGGTATTAAAAAGGAACCTGGGTGCAGCTGGGTTGAGGTTGATGCACACATTCATGTCTTCTTGTCTCAGGATGTGTCACATCCAAGGCTATGGGATATTCATCAAAAGTTGGAGGAGTTGAGACACAAACTTATTGAAAAAGGCTATGTGCCAAACACAAAGTATGCACTTCAGAATGTACCAGACAAGGAAAAAAGCGAAAACCTCTTACACCATAGTGAAAGATTGGCTTTGGGTTTTGCACTTATAAGCAAGATTCAAAGTGAAAAAATCAGAATCTTCAAGAATGTTCGTATTTGTGGAGACTGCCATGAATTTATGAAGCTCGTCTCAGGCATAACAAATCGAGAAATTGTTGTTCGTGACACTAGACACTTTCACCACTTTCGAAGTGGCACATGTTCATGCAAGGATTATTGGTGATTCTGTGTTTAAAGCATTTGAGAATGGTATATGTGCAACAATCCAAGATAGTCAAGTTTTGAGCCCAATCTATCAAAAGAATATTGCACTGTTCAGGAAGTACACGCGACTTGGGTAAGTTCCAGTTTTCATTGCTCATACTTCATTCTGTAGTAAGCATCTCAAGGATAGGATACTCCTCTACAATTTAATGATTCAATGGGATCGTAGAGCTTGTTTGGCTAAGCCTAAAAGAAGAAGTAGAGTTACTTTTTGTCTCAGAACATGTACACAGAACTTAATTTTAAGTAGTAAAAGTTGCTGTTTGTGGAAATAACTCCTACGTCACTGTCAAAATATGTAACTTCTCTGTTCGCTACAAGATATATCTATTTTAAAACAAACTTATTTTACTTACTAGTAAACCTTTTAAGCTTGCTCAAAATTGCTGTTAGTATACTATGCAGCATTGGTTATCTTGATGATTATGGATTTATTTTCAAGACAATGACAAATAATTCATGATTATTACCTTTACAAGCTAAAGAACAAGCACTCGCAATTAAGGTACACAGTTAAAAATCAAGGATCTGAAAATTGGCCAGAAAGTTATTTCTGTACCTATTGAAGTTGTTTCCCAGGAATGAAGATAAAATGTAGCAACTTCACAATTGCAGGTTATCTTTTATGGTTTCATTAAGGAGATTCTTTGTGTTTTTTTAATGCAGATTTTGTTTTTTGTTTTTTTGAATTATATATCCTCATTGATGGGTACTGTTGCTGCAGTTTTTATTCAAGAAAGATAATTAGAACATGGCTGATAGATTACCAAGCTGCGACAACAATTGTCTATTGTTTAAGGTATAGTTAATCAAGGGTCATTTTCATTGTCAATTCGAGATTGACAACGGCCGTTCTCATAGACAGATTTTGCTTTTTTGACATTATATATCCTCGTTGACGGGTATTCTTGCTGCAGCTTTTGGTCAAGAAAGATAAGAAAAGCAGAGGATAATCCTTGATTGGCACGATTCTCTCCAATTAGGCAAATGCTTCCACAAAGGATAGCTTACAAGGCAAGATTGAAGTGTCTTTTATCAGCAAAAAGGTTTGTTCAATAAAAAAGGAAAAATTCTATGACCATGGATTAACTTGCAAGTATAATCAGCATATTCTTTTCAGATAATTAAATATTTTGTTAAGCTTTCCTATCCAATGACAGCAAACCTTTTTAATCCGTTCATTCTTTTGATGAGTAATAACTTTGATCTGAATATTTCTTGACTTCTCAGTATAGTTTTCCTAATCAGAAGCAAGCTGAAGATCAAGGTGCCTTTTACCAATAAGAAGTCAACAAGTTGGGACAACAATTATTTACAGATTGCTACCGATCAGTCCATTAGAAGTGATCTATAAGCAGATGTTCTACAAAATTCATTAACATTCACATCAGGCCATTTTCAGACGAATTCTTGGTGACGTTTTATATCTAACCTTCAAAGAAGTGATGTGTTTGGTAAGGTGGGCGGGACAAAATTTGATAGTATTAATAATGTTCTAGAAGGGAAAGCAGAGAAAGCTGAAGTCCACTGCAGAATCCCTCCAAAGGTGATGAGATTTTCCCACCTTCAATTTTTGATTCTTGACTATGGTCGTTTATTGTGAAATTTGAGACTGTCATGCTTGCAATTTTCAAATATCAATTGGCTCATTCATAAACTATTGGTCCTACTCCCCTCACCCCATCCTCCAAAAAAAAGGAAAAAAATGCAGACTCAGAAACAACTTTCTGAGCCCCTTTCTCTCTTGTAGTTCTTTGCTAATAATGCACTGTACCCTTTTTAGCATCTGGATTGTATGTGCCAAGTAATCAAGGCTTTGTGCTTTTTGATATTGTCATCTTACTAAGAAACTAGGAAACAAGTAAATAAAAGCATTGGAGAACAAATAATTTGACTGTTTCTTTTATGCATGATGGAGATTGGGCCAAATATCTAAAGCTTAAATCCTTTGGATTATTGTTTCTTTGGTCATATTTCTTGAGGAAACTCTTGATGGTGTTTGTTTTATGCTATAATGTCAGGTTACAGGTAAAAAGAATTTGATTTGAGAATTTTCTACCAAGATACAAAGGCACTATCAATCTTTTGCGGCTCAAATCAGGAATGATAAAGTAAGAAGAGAAAAGAAAAGAAAGGAGGTGCAGATTAGCATATGAGTTGGTTTTGCTGCATAACAAGCAAACTACTGAAAAACCTCTCCCTTTTCTTTTGACATACTATTTAACAAGTTGTTTCTGCTTTCCCATCTCTCAAGTGAGAAGGATTTCCTCTCCAAGGACATATTTTTAATTACCTATGAAGAAAATATTATTATTCAACAATAATGTTAGTTAATTTAGCATTGATAAGTAGAAAAGTGACTTGGAAATGCTTTCATCATGAGCATATCAATGGTGTATGTATGCATACTTGTGCATTTCTTTGAGAATGCTCTTAAATGCTTTATTCATCCAAAATCGATCTACCTTTTGTAATATAGTAGTTTGCCAACAGAACTTTATTTTTTGTTTGGGGTGCAAAATATTTTGAGCTCCTGTTTTACATGCATATTTTTTTAAACGAATGATTATTTTATAAAATCTTCGACTTATAATTAATTTTTTTTTGAAGTTTCTATGTTTTATAGTATGTTTAGATAATAAGTGAGTAATAAATTATAAATTTTACTATACGAACAAAAAATATGTTTGACGAAATTAAATGAAAATATAAGCTCTACTAAACAAGTGCAGGAGAATTTATAATTAGAGGTTAAAATGTGCAAATCTTAATACTACATGGCAATATTGTAAAACGAATTTAGAAATCTTCAGGGGGCTAAACTGAAAAGTCTTAACGCAAATCGAATAATCGAATGAAACGACGACGTATTACGACAGAAAATACTACCTTCATTCAGCATCTCCTATCACACTACCCAAATTGAAAGCTGTTGAAAACCCTAAAAAGCTGAAATTTGTAGATCCACGTAAGAAATTTCACTTCAATCAGTTGAGATCAATCGGATCGAACCCAAGGATTGCAATGGCGATGGCTGCTTTGAGGCGCGAGGGAAGGAGATTCGCCGTCCCTCTCATCTCTCCACAACCTATCAAACCCCTCCGTTCCTCTGTCTCCTCTACTGAGTACGATACGATGCCTCTCTCACTCATAGATTTTCACTCTCTATATGTATACGTGTGTATGTGTAAGTGAGCGTACAAAAATTTGGGTTTATTTGATTTATGTTTTCATTCATTTGTGATAGATAAACTGATTTATTTTTATTCAAAAGTCATGAATTTGCGGTTCTTATAGATTTGATTAAGCACTTGTTTGATACCCATTATTTAATTAAATTTTTGCTACAGGATCGACCACACATTCACTCAGTAAATATTCTGCACAAAAAATGGAAAACTTTTCATTACTTTTTTGACCACACGCTCTCCTAAGTACTATTCAAAACACATTTTTTTGGGTTTAATGTGAATCAAACAGAGGCTAATTCAAATTCCGTCCATTATAATGGAAGAATTATAAATCACCAAAATAAGATATAGAAATACCTCAAATGGGGCCATCCGTCGTTCCCAGTTTCATTGCTTCCTGAAAAGAACTGAAGAGTTAGGTGAGTTATAACATTTTTATTCAAGAAAAAACGAGAATATCTGTTGTACAGAAAGCTCCCCCTGCCCTTTAGATGAGAAAACCCTCTGGCGTTTCGCTTACTCTGTTGTAATGTGGTTTTTTCTCAGTGCTTTGTTATGGTCTGAGATCATGGTACAACATATGCAGCATAATGTATAACATTCCATTGCTGCAATTTTCTCCTCCTTGAATTTCTGTGTTTTTGCTGGGACTTTTTTACTTAAAAGATGTACTGTGGAGCATTTGAATTATCAGGAATTGTAATGTAGAGCTATTTGAATATGGATACTAAATATAAGATTGGTATTCTATCCACAAATGCCTGTTAGTACGATGTATTTGATAATGTCCCATGTTTTATGTGAGGATTGGTAAGGATTTGACAACTTATGTGAATGCAATTTGTATTAAAATGAGGTTTAATATTTGATGTCTATTGGCACTTCATTCTTCTAACTCTATCGGCATGCAGTACATTTTCTTAGTTAAAATTTCCAATGGTCCCTATCGCCCTGAAGTGACTTCACTGTGAATCCATTGTATTTTGAATCATCAGGAGTTGGTATTATGAGAAAATTATCTCAGAGCCGGTCTCATATTTCGATGATACATGCAACTGGGTAGAGAATAAAATTCTGATGATATATGCTTACTATTTTAGCATTGAAAAGATGGTTAACTATTGGAGATGCTGTTTGCCATTGTTGGTCTTTGATATCTCATGAAAAATAAGATGATCTCAGATAAGGATGCGGTAAAATTTGTTGTGCTTGAAAGAAAGTGAAACCTCTTTTCGAAAATTGCATGCAAAAAGGCTAACAAATTTCTATTCACTTGAATGATATACTATTAGCATATTTTGCTTGGGAAAAAAGGTCAAGGGGTTGTTCGCTTCGTGTTTCATTTTTAGTTTTGAATTCATTTTGGGTTTTGTGTTTTGAGTGTCTATTTTGAAAAACACAATTACTTTCTAATTTTGAAAAATTGAAAAACTGATTATTCAATATATATGTAGTTATTTTTCTTATATAACAAAGTAAAAGCGACTGCCATTGTGGTTAAGGTATTGAAATTCCATGCTGGTGACCCTGGTTCGAATTTCAACCACCTACCAATTTATTTGAAAATTTTTGTAATGTACATATAAAAAGAAAATTCCTTCGTATTGAATTGTAGTGAAATGGAATCGAACTCGTGACCTTCAAAAAATTCGTGACTCTCCCAACTAAGCTATCCCGCTATCGGCAAAATCCGGTTGTTTTCCTCGTTTTGAAGTTTTGACTTAGTTTTAACTGAAAACAGCCAAAAATAATTTTTTAGCGTTTTCTGTTGTCTTTGTAAATTTTAAACTCCTTTTTTAAAATAAGTAAGTAAACGTGTTTTCAGTATTTTCGAAAATTGAAAACTGAAAATGGTCTGAAAAAAGCAAAGAGAACGAGCCCTAAATTTCTGAAACCTAAGCTGCATTAAGGTTATCCTTTGCTATTGAACTTTTCTCTCTTACGAATGTACTTTTATTGTCAATTAATTAGTTCCACATGGAAAGTTGAATGCTTCTGTACGTATTTATGTTTCAATTGTTCGATACACCTTATGTTATGGATACATCAAAGTGGTAGGAACAAGTCATACTGTTTGTTATCTTTCTAATTCAGGATCTTCATGTACTATTCAATGACAGTGCTAGGTCCTATTTATGATGTGCCATTTGGAATGCTAAATGGACACATTCGTGTAGTAGTATAATGAACATTCTGAGATTAGTGAAATTCCTTTTTTATGTGCTTGTAACTATAATTTATTTGTGCCTCAAGTACCTTCTCTGCTTCAGTGTTTCTGAAGAATCATGTATCACTTTTGCTCTCCTGTATCATTGGTGTTTGTAATTTTTTTCCTGTAAATAAAGTAGCATGTGCCAACAGGGATCAGGCTTTTTTGGGAGTTCGTTCTATTTCAACTCAAGTTGGTAAGAATCGTTGCTACATTGTTAGTAATCATCATAGTTATTGAACATTTGTTAATATTATGCAAAAATTTTCTTGCTCTCATCATTAATTTTTTTGACGATCAACCTTAATTGCAGTCCGTAACCGTATGAAGAGTGTTAGGAATATTCAGAAAATTACAAAGGCAATGAAGATGGTTGCCGCGTCAAAGCTTCGCGCAATTCAGACTAGAGCTGAAAACTCACGTGGTCTATGGCAGCCGTTCACTGCTCTTCTTGGTGATACTCCAAGTAAGTTTCATTAAAATATTTTTAGTTACATCTTAATCCTAGAGTTCTTATCAATTTATGTCCTTATACACGAATTGGTTCTGCTCACTGTAGACATATTTTTACGTATTGTGCATTTAGTAAGTTGTTTTGATGCTGCCCTATTGCTGCACAGCAATATAATGTGAAAAACAAAAGTAGAGGTATGGAAGAAAAATGTTGTAGTCCACTTTGTAGCATAGTGGATGTATTCAAGATTGTACAAACTATGGAGATATCAAGCTAACAAACTCACAAGACATACTGTGGAATTACAGGAGGCAGTGACTGACTAGTTTAATGTTTCAGGGATCTACTATGAAAACAATTTACATACTTCTGACATTGATGAAAAAGTCAGGCAAGACTACATCTGTACCAATACTCAATTAGGGATAGCAATCAGAGTAATTTACAAGTAGTAAAGGTTGCACTCTTCCTTGCATAGCGTTAGATATTTGTCTCAAGGCGCTCAACCTTAATGAGGGTTTTAAGTATATTCCCGCTTCCATAAGGAGAGAGCATAACTAAAATAAAAATACAAGTTCTACACCATGCTGCCTCTTTCTCTTTGAGCCTCCATCACCACCCAGCTCAGCTTCTGGTTGCAATTTGTGCTTATTTGTGTTGTTTGTAGAGGCATGTCATGTTACCACTCCGGAATAAGAGTTATCATTTACTATAATTTGATGTTGCCATCTATAATCCATTAATACTGCTGATATATTGGGTTTCTACGATTTCTCTCAGGTGTATCTTTCACACATCTGGCATTCTAAACAGAATGCTGGCTATTCTTTTCTCGGCTATGGTTTTTATAAACGCACTCTCTCTATTCAATGAATTTGCTGCATGCTTCGAGTTCAATATAATTTTTCATCTTCAATGATAGCAATTACTTTACTGGTACTTAACTTTCCTCATGTTTTGACGTTTTAGGTGTTGATGTCAAGAAGAATGTTATTGTTACAATTTCTTCTGATAAAGGTCTTTGTGGTGGGATTAATTCTACATCTGTCAAGATAAGCAGGGCTCTTCATAAATTAAATTCTGGTATATCATAAGTTTGTTGATGCAGTGGATTTTATTTATTTATTTTTTCATTGGCGAAGTTTTGTTCATTATATTTCATTCTGGTACTTAGGTCCTGAAAAGGAAAGTAAATACGTCGTTCTGGGAGAGAAGGCCAAGGCCCAACTTGTGCGGGATTCCAAGAAATACATCGAGCTATGCATAACTGAGTTGCAGAAGAATCCCCTGAATTACACTCAGGTCTGTCTTTTAAAAACATTTTTCCTGCATATATCAAAGAAAATGCACTCCTTCGATTCCCATAAAGAATCCCGAGTTTTTGTCCGTGTTTTTTGTAGTCAAGACTTGAACATTAGGGTAAAAATGAGCAAGTATTGGTCAAGCTTTGTTTGGCTAGAATAGGAGCAGACAAGATGTCATTTTGCACTTTATCTGTAAATTTAGTGGACATTTGCTTGCACTTGACTAGATTGTGACAGGCTTACTGGTGGCAATCTATTACTGGAAACTTGCTTTATTCTCTATTTTGCAAGCCCTGTCTGCAATTTTTCCTATCTGTGAGCTGCCTTTGCAGCTGCTTCAACTTTTGCTTTAAATTGTTTGACGGACTAAAGACTTGTGGAAAAAACTTGATATACAATTGTAAACATAAGTGTATCTTTAATTGTTACTGGAATTTTGAGAAATGAGAAATAGGAAATCTCGTGAATCCTGTTGCAGGAACATATATTTCCGTTTCAACTCATCGAGTTCTATTTTTGGCACTGCAGGTTTCTGTGCTTGCAGATGACATCTTAAAGAATGTTGAGTATGACGCTCTGAGGATTGTTTTCAACAAGTTCCAGTCAGTTGTGTCATTTGTGCCAACGGCAGCAACTGTATTATCTCCAGAGGTCACCAATGGCGTGAATTTAGCGACTTGAATCTTTATATGAGTGTTCTCTATTAGGATATTAATTCTATTTCATGCTAATATAGGTTGTGGAAAGAGAAGCTGAATCAGGGGGGAAACTTGGGGAGTTGGATAATTATGAAATTGAAGGTGGCGAAACAAAGTCAGAAGTGCTTCAGAACCTAACAGAATTCCAGTTTTCCTGTGTATGGTCTACCTTTATTATCATATTTTGATTGAAAAAACCAGGCCAAGGATCTAACCCGCACTGTAATTATTTGTCTAATATGAAATGCTTTTACTGTTTTCTTCAGGTCATGTTCAATGCAGTCCTAGAAAATGCTTGCAGTGAACAGGGAGCTAGAATGTCTGCAATGGACAGCTCAAGCAGAAATGCTGGAGACATGCTTGATCGCCTCACACTAACTTATAACAGGTTTGGTCTTAACTGACACTATCATGGTGCATGATTGATACACAATATGGGATGGCATATGAACAAAATTTTAGCATCTTTTTTTTTTTTTTCCTCTTTGTACTATCTTACTGTCCAATTTTCCCGAAACTCCCTACCAAACACGCTCTACCAATATTTTCAAATATGCACCTAGATAGTATAGAAATATGATTTAACATTTTTGTATCATGGCTAATGTTATGAATGACTCCCCTCTCCTTTACTAACAGTACTCTTATTCATCTTTCTAATTGAGATATTTTTTTTCCAGAACCCGTCAAGCATCTATCACTACAGAATTGATAGAGATTATTTCTGGAGCATCAGCACTCGAGGGCTAATTCAATAAAGCTTCTGCTGCCCCTCTTGGATGTCGATGATATTAATTATTTTGAACACTGTATTGCATTTTTTTGGTTACTCCTTGTAGATTTTCTTCATTAATAATCTCCCCAAATAATCATTTGGGGAAATATTGTGTTTACGCCTTAAACTTTTTCTGAAAAATCATGTTTGCCTCTTATTCGTTTGCTCGGTTTCTATCAAAGAATTTATCCGAACTATTACAATGTTTTGAGGACTTGTATCTTTGTACTTTTGCACATTAGTTGTGTTTTATGGACCGTCTTCTTGATGTCCTTGCCTCTCGAGTCTTTACCTTCCTAATTGCTGCCCTTGGGGACTTCTCTTGAAGAAGTTATGCTGTTTCGACCTGACTAATCTATTACAAAAACTTTGATACTTCATTATGTAAGAGCAAAATTATTTATATTTGGAAATGGGAACAGTGGTCCTTGTTAGTGAAACTAACAATTGACGTTTTAGTTAAAAAAAAAAAGAAAGAAAAAGAAACGAAAATAAACGTGCTGATTCTTTTTTATCTCGATCATGATAAATGACTCTTCTAAAAATTTCTCATTTTTGGTCACGGACATTGCTACATTCTCGTAAGGAGTTTTTGAATGGGGGAGAGAGGATGAATTTGCTACTCTTATCGACCAGCTCACAGAGATGAAGTCAGCACATGAGGCCGCCAACCAAGAACTTGCCGAGCGGAATGAGGCCTTGGGGGAGAAGAGGCCAATGCTGGAGATGTTGGTTTGGAACGTAAGAAGAAGACAACATTTGCACAGCAATTATCGTAATGATTCTAATCATATAAAGCCAATGACACACTTGTAAGGGAATGATGGCAATGCTGAAGAAATAATTTTGGGAAACGAGAAAATTGTTCTCTTCAAATTTCTACTATAATTGTACAAAGGCAATCACAATATAACACACCCTGTTTGAACTAAATTATTGTAGAATGAGAATGAAAAATATAGTCGTTATTGGGGTCCACATAAGAGATAGAGAATTTGAATTTAAATGTTGATGTGATGGATAACGGTCATATTTTTTATTTTAATGAGATAATAATGTAGATCAAACGGATTCATCTTACGAAGTTAGGTTTTATTTTTCGACGTCTTTCTAAAGTTACTGTGTTCATGGTGTACAATGGATTAGAGACCAACTTGTAATGACACAAAAGGTTGGAGACCAATTGGGCAATTTTCTCATTTTTTTTTTAATTATATAATTTATATTTCAAATAAAGATATTGTGGTTGGTGAACACCTCACTCCTGTATAATGACACTTTACAAATCCTGGCGAATTTTTTGTTTATTAATCCTGTTTGTAAATTTTCTATAATTTAAGTTTTAATGTCTGGTATATTTCTTCTGAATAAAAAATGCAGTTTTTCTCGTGCAGAAGAGCGCCAGATCGGACGGTAATGCTGTAGGCGGGAGGAGATTTGAACAGTGTTTCTGATACCTCTTTCAAAGATTTACTCTCAGAACAGGGAGGGGCAGGCAGAGATCTATACATAAAGGGAATATACATATAGACGAAACAGATACTTAGTAAGAATTTTTTGTTGTTGTCATTTCTGCTTATATTCTCGAATTTTTTGCCCTCATGAATATCCAAAGTTATCCTTTTTCAGTTATTAAAATTAAGGACGTGATTGTAGCGAAATAATATATCATAAATCATATACTAAATTCCCAGGTATGATGAAAAAGTTGTAAGCTTGGATAAAAAGATGGGATAATTTTCACGAAAACCTGAAGAGTAAAAATGGCAGCCTTTGTGGAAGAACCCTTAAAATCATCAGCATTCTTTGAATATTCTCGATCAGATTTTTTCAATTATCTTCCTGATTGTCAAATTCTAATCACTGAAACACCGTTTTAAGCCTCAACCTCATGAATTTCAATTGTATCACTCAAATTGGGATAAGGTTCATTAGAGAGAAAAGGTAGATGAGAAGGTTCATGGTCATATAATGTACCAAAAGAAAAAAGATTATATAATGAACATAAATTGGTTAGGTGTTTCTGATAGGTATGATTCACAGATTCATCTTTTTAGGAGACTTTGGGTGGACTTGATACCAACCTACCAACTAAACCCCCACCTAGATATACATATACAAAAATATATAGCTTATGGTTAAGAGTAAGGAGTGTGTATGTATTAGAAGTAAATTAGAGATAAATTAGAGTTGGGTATATGACTTTGCAGAACATAGAATTTAGGTTTTCAATCTAAATAGAGCATTCGAGTTCACAATCTTGTATGTTTATAGCATGTGCAAGCATATATTTTTGGGCTTTTTTCGGCGGCATGTACAATTGTGCTGTCAAATAAGGCCAAATAAAAAGATGGCAAACTGTTTTGTCTTTCAAGGAAGGCTAGACATGCTATATTATATGTTTGTGTGTGCTGATTGTTAGACACCCTCGAGATATATTTGTTACCCTGTGGATCTTGGCTAACCATTTGGCTTGATTTATGTTTACTATTTTACTTGTGGGTATGTTAAGCAAATTCAATGAATGAAACCAGGCAAGTTCTGCTAATTTTGGGTGGTAAGAATTTACCAGTGTACGGTTTAATTTTTGGGTAGAATTGGAGACTGACAACAGACTGGAACCTTCTGTTCTAATTTTTATTCTATAGAACACTACTTGCTTATATACATAATGCTCATGTTATTACTTATTAGTAGACTTCCTGCTATAACTAAAAATGCATGCCACGTATAATTGTGTGGCATATAATTAGAAATGATATCCGTTTGTATAATTGTGATTAATTGATCATTGTAAAAATTGTCATTTATTATCAATGTAAATCTAACTTTGACCGTTGGGTCTTTGTATTAGTATTATTTATTATTCTTTTTTAAGGAAATATTTGGCCACTCTTCATTGTTAGTATGACTGTAATCATAATACGATAAACACAAAACCTTTCTTTCAGAATCGACAACTACTGGCTCTTTGATTACTTTCTTGGCCTACTGCAAGTCTTCAAGTTTTCTCTCTTAGTTAATTTCAATGGAGCTGTTAATGAGTGCTCAGATAAAGATCAATCCACTGCTTTCTTTTCATTACAAGAAGCAGAAAGCTAATTTCGTTCCCACATTCACTCCAAGAGTTACGAAAAGAGTGTTTGTTGGCCCGATTGGAGTCATGAATAATCCCAAATCATTCAATTCAGTAGCTGCTTCAGTATATCCACTAGAGGCATCAGCAGTGGGCCTTTTTGACAACACATTACCATCCAAAGGTAAAAAATGCAATGCCATATATATATGTATTCAGAAACCCTTTTGCATGTTGTGCTTTTACAATTATGCAAGATAAGGGCATTATATCACGCTTTTACGACTATGCAGACTAAGGACATTAGATTGGATTTTGGATTTATATGTCGTAGACTTGGATTAGTTCTATTAATGTTTGATTATAATACGAGTGTTTTAGTTCTGGACTAACTGTGATGTAAAATTTATTATGGTGGAATTCTACCATGTTTGTTTGCTGATAGGAGGTTTCTTTAATTTTGTAAGAGGTCCTTGATATATGGAGAAATGCCGATGCTGTATGCTTTGATGTGGACAGTACAGTGTGCCTGGATGAGGGCATTGATGAACTTGCAGAGTATTGTGAAGCTGGAAAGGCAGTTGCTGAGTGGACTGCTAGGTCTATTGATATTTTGTTTAGAACAGTTCTATGGTGGTTTTCCTTACTAAGAATTTTTATTTGATATTAGTGTGTTGGCTTTGCTAGGGCAATGAGTGGCTCGATTCCTTTTGAGGAAGCTTTGGCTGCCAGATTATCTCTTTTCAAACCTTCGCTCTCCCAGGTGCAAGATTTCCTTGAGAAGAGGCCCCCAAGGTACTAAGCTTTGTTGGTAGAAAAAAGTACATGTTTATGGCCATTTTTGTTTTGTTTAGAACATCGTGAGGTTTTTTTGGACAGACATATTAGCATATATTGAGGACCACCTTATTTGCCAAAATATTCAGGATTTAATCAATAAAATTCCTGATGTATGAGGGATGTTGTGTTCCTTTATTTCAAGGAAGTACCCATTCACCTGATTGAATGCATGGAAGACAATATTGAGACGGTATGGGAAAAACAGTTATTAAGTGGTGAACAATTTAGAAATGTGAAATTTAAAAAACTTTTTAAGGGAAATGCTATGGCAAGGTTGCTTCAACAATTCTGTTTGTGCCTGTTACAGTTTCACTTGGTGCTGAAATATATCTTCATTCACCATCCCTCGCCTGGCTGTATGAAAATGAGAACCAGAGGATGATACAATATTTATTTTCGGTAAATGACATTATTTTGACACTTCCTAAAAAGAAGATAAGGTTGATAACATTTTAACAGTTTTAATTATATAGATTTGAAATTGAGAACCTGAGTGACGGATATAGAAAAATCGACAATGTATATTCAATGCGTTGAACTTTTTTATTAGAAACAAGGGAATTATGGACGCTATACTTCAATGTATGTCATGTAGAGACATTGACATCCCACAGAATTATTAGTATCTCATCACTAATTGATTGAGCGTCTGCTCTCAAACCGCCTACAAAGGAATATTTATTACGTGCTCCAAAATGAATACCAAATTGATTAGTTTACAACACCTATTTAATATATAAATGAGTGGACACTCAAGTATTGAAGCTTACAGCTTGTTTATTTGTTTAAGCACATGTTTTCCTATATGTAATAGTTAGTTTGTTTTTGTGTAAATGGTTATCTTATTTTCTTTCGGTATGTAGAATTTCTCCGGGAATTGATACGTTGGTTAAGAAGCTGAAGGACAAGAATACGGATGTGTATCTGATCTCCGGAGGCTTTCGTCAAATGATAAATGTACTTAGCTTTACTTTGAATTGATGACTAAATTGAAATTAATTGTCTGTTTTGTGCTCTGGGAAATCATATTAGTAAATTATTTTTTTTTTTAGATTTCTTCTATAGTGCAATATTTAGCTCATATTGGTGAAATTTTAAGAAATTTGTCGGCATGTAATGTCATTCAGCAATATATTTAGAATCCTTTTTGTAAGATTCTATCCCTTTCAACCTTTATTATAGCTTTTTTTTTCTTCGACAAGTCTTTTTCAGGAATTATTCCTCTTCATCCAATTGTTATTGCTGCATTCTCACTTTTTAGATCAACGACTAAAAAGTGTTCGATATATGATAGTATATCTTTGATCAAAAAGTAACTTTCACTTTTTTATCTTAAGCTTAGCCAAACATTAATAGCGTTGTGGAATTTGCAAACAATGATCTAGTATTATGCCCTAAAGAACTTTCTAAAACTATACATTAATTATTATTATTTTTATTAATCATGCCGGAAAGGATGTCTGTTAGGTGGAGGAGACAGTTTATACTTGGAGCTTATAATTTGAATATTTTGTTTGAAGCCTGTGGCATCAATCCTTGGTATACCACTCGAAAACATATATGCCAATCAACTTTTATTTGGAAGCTCCGGAGAGTTCTTGGGATTCGATACTAAGGAGCCAACCTCAAGAAGCGGAGGGAAAGCAACCGCGGTTCAACTGATAAGGAAGGCAAGTAAATTGTGGGCTTGTTTCATCCTTGCTCCATAAGATGTAAACTTTTGCTTATTCCTTTATTTCTCCAGGCTCAAGAATACAAGTATATGGTCATGATTGGAGATGGTGCAACTGATCTTGAGGTGTGAGAAACATTCAGCTTATTTATTTTTATGTGTCGGCCCAGCATTTGCAGCCCTGGGCCAGGGTTATTTTCGTCGGATATGAATTGATAACAAAGAGTTTTACTATATTACACAAACTTTGTTCTCGTTTTCTTTATATAGGCTCGTCAGCCGGGTGGTTCTGACTTGTTTATATGCTACGGGGGAGTTCAACTCCGGGAGAGTGTTGCAGCTAAAGCTGATTGGCTGGTGTTCAATTTTAAGGACTTGATCAATTCGTTGGACTAGTGAGCAGCCATTTTTACGATGTAGTGTACTGTACTTCTTGGTTGCCCGAGTGTACACAATTTACATTTTTATCCTTGACCTTTGGCATTTTGGTCTGTATACTTTTGTTAGAATTAAGCTCCTTTATTAGAAAGAATGTCACCCTACTTGACCGACACTCACATGACAGTGAGGCCCATATGAATAAAAAATTCCAAAAAGTGCTCTCTATTGTGACTATGCTGTTATAACCTTCATAAACACTTATAATATATTATTAGTTATAAAGCAGAAAAAGTTCTTGAATCCCTTCAAAAAAATGCACCCATACACATTCGAAATCAACCATTGGGATGCACTCCAAAGCCTGACTAAAGGGAGAACAAAAGAGCCGACGAACTCCACCAAACGAAGAGCACAAGGTACCAAAAAAAAAAAGTGTTGAGTAATGTCAACTAACTTATTTAATTCTAATTTTACCAATAAGTCTTGCTATTTTAATATTTGGAATAGTATTTTTGGTCAAAAAAGAAGAAGAAATTTGAAATTACGTGTAATATTATTTTATTAAAAAATATGTAATTGATAAAAATAAAGAGAAAAATAAATTATAATTTTAGTCAGGTCAAATGGCGAGTAAGAAGTGGGGTAAGATTTACTTGTCTTGATTACAAGTAGAAAATTTATATAAAATAATTCAGCCGGGAAATGTAGATAATGCTTGGTCAAAATATAAGCTTGTTTACATCTCATGTAGCAGTCCTTACAGTGGAGTGACAGATGATGAATACGATGGAAGGTGTTGTTCTCAAACTTCCTTATTCTTTCCGAATCATTAAACCAAACCCTAAACGCACTAACCGTGCCTTCCGCACCGTACCTTTAGCTTCTGCTTCTGTTACGGTCGCCTCACCCGACCCGATTCTTGGACCTGGCTCTCTCGGTCACCTCACCCGACCCGATTTTCCCATTCTCCACCAGGCACTTTCCGTATTTGTTTACTCAATTTTGGTTCAGTATATGATTTTTTTGAAGTGTTAATTGAGGAGGGTTTTGCAATTTGTTGCAGGAGGTGAATGGGAAAAAGCTTGTGTATTTAGATAATGCCGCGACGTCCCAGAAGCCCACTGCGGTTTTGTTGGCATTACAGAAGTATTACGAAGCTTGGAATTCCAATGTTCATCGCGGAATTCATTATTTAAGGTAATTTTGAGGAATATAAGTATAAGTAAGTTTTAGTTGTTCTTTTGTAGCCTAGGCCAAACATCTTCTTATTCATTTCCTTTTAATTTTTTGATTTTTTGGGTTGCAGTGCGAAGGCAACAGATGAATATGAATTAGCAAGACATAAGGTGGCGAATTTCATCAATGCGTCGTCTGGAGAGATCGTGTTCACAAGAAATGCCACTGAGGCCATCAACTTAGTCGCTTACTCTTGGGGCCTCTCGAATTTGAAGGCCGGAGATGAGGTGCCCTCTTAGAACTTTCTCTGCTTAATCCATGTTTCAAGTTAGTTTTTGGAATCTGTCATAAATTTAACTGGGAGATTATTGTGTTAGAGTAGACCATTGATTCTGTTTGGTAATGACTTATGAGTTCACGAATAGTCAAGCTAACATACAAATTTCAGATTATTGTAATATTTGGGTTCCATTTTTTGAACTTTTAAGTTATAATTCACTTAATTTGGGACCCATGAACACTGTTATTTAGTGACTGTGACCGACATAGTAAATTGGTTGGAGGCCATGTCTCAATTCCTGAATTGTTAAAACAGAGTTGACCAAAGCACAATGGCAAAAGTCACAGAACTGCCCTGCACTAAGTGCTAATTGATCATATATGTGAATTTTGAGGTGCTACTGCACATTTCCACATGGCTCACAACAGTCACGTCTAATTTATCTAGCCAATTCTGTCCCTCAAAATTCACACAAATTTGAACCGTGAGCATTTAGTACTGGGGTAGTTTTGTCATTCTGCTTTGATCAATTCCATTTAACCATAAATGAATTAATAATTAAGTTATAAAAAGGGAACCCAAACAAACGCCATATATGAGTAATTTATTAGCGTATGAATTTTAATATGTAGTGATTATGATGGCACTAAGTGTGATGACTGGAATAAAAGAATAATAATGATCATGAAAAAATAATAGCAAAATTGGAATGCACTAGATTTATGTGTTTTGGCACTTTGTATGTGAGAAGAAAAACGTGTGGATATAAAAAAATCCATATTGGAGACACCTAGGAGATATGTTACAAAACCAATCAATAATGACAAGTTCATATGGTTTAGATCCTCTATTGCCCTAGCGGAAATGTAAGCGACATGGAAATGGAAAATGTAGAATGGATAAAAAGGTTACTATAAAAATGACTTTAAATGGTAGAAATGTAGCGGCAAAACCACTTTTTAGTGTTCACACTATGTAGCTGCAATTTGGTGTTCAAACCATGCATCCAAAGTTTGAACACGAAATTGCGACTACATGGTGTGAACGTCGAAAAGTGGCTTTACCGCCACAACTTTCACTTGACCTGCATCTCCTTTTCTATTTTGTGTTTATTGGCTTGTTTTCATCAAATGGAAACGTGTAAATATAGCACAAGAAACTTGGTCCCTAAATTCTTATGGGCAATAGGGACAAAAATCCTGCTCCCTAAGTTTTGTTATGTGGCTTCTAGCCACGTGTTCCAACATATTGGGATCATAGCACACAAAGGAGAATGCAACTGATGTGCTATCCAAGCGAGTGCCTACTGAGAAGTTCAAGCAATGCACAGGCTTATTAAGTCTCGTAGTATTAGCGTTCTTCTTGAAATCGAGGGGAAGTATTGGCCCGATTAGTCGCCAAGGTGGAGATTTGTTGGTACATGTGGCTCATAACAAGTTGCATATTACAACTTGGGCTCCTCCCAAAATTGCAACTCCCCCTTGACCAAAAATGGGCTGCAAGTTTCTCATGCTATATATATGTGTGCAGATTCCCTTGTTGAAAAAACACCAACACAAAGACGAAGTGATACACGGCCAAAAAGAATGAAAGCAAGGCTTGAAAAAAGTGTTTTTTTAAGAAAATTAGTGATTAAGAGTTTAAGCTTGTGTGATTGAGCGTTGTTGTAATTTCCATTTTTTTAATAGTGAAATGTTACAATGTTTTGCTTTGTTAACATAGGCAAAATTGTCGACTGCGTAATTTGTCTGGTTCTATTTTGCTATTATTTTAACTGTTATTATTCTTCCATTCGTGTTATTGCACGTAGTGCCATCATATTTACTATGCAATTCACACAAATTAGGATTTTTTTTCTTAAGAGTTGACTTATAAAAAATTCTCCTTCTGTTGGTCTTGCACTTTCACTGCTTAGAATTTTACAATTTCTGGGCTCTCCTTTTGAATCCTAGGTTTTAGAGAGAGGTAAATTAATGTGGGAAGTTAAATAAGGGAGACTTTTGACAATTTAATATACGCCTTTACCTTTTCTATTTCTTTTTCCAAACTGAGGTTCAGTATCCAAACTTAGCCCTAATGTTGTGGGTAAATAGGACTGCTTGTATACTTCTCAGAAGCCACAATTGAAATGAATTTTTGGGAGATGAAAAAGATGATAAAGAACTACAGAACTATTTACAAGGAATATGTGAAAACTGAGTTAGTAGTCTCTCTATTTGAATCGCCAAATTCTAACAAGTAACGTCAAGGAAAAAATTTCATTCGGCCTGCATTGATTATTTCTGATTTCGAACTAGATTTTGTAGATCGGTGACAATAGCTCAAGCTAGTTGGAGGGCACAGTTATGTGCTTGTCCTCTGCTTTCTCAGGCTTAGAGATTGAGCTTGATCGGTTATAGTTTGGTAGAGGCAAAGTGGATACATAGGTATATTGGTGTAAAACAGTAGGTTATATCTGCATGATTTGATAATCAAGGAAAATGAAAGGAGAGTGAAATAGTTTGGGGTAAGCTCTACACTATCAGATTCCTATAAGAGGAAGGCAAAAGCTGGACCACAAGGTTGGTTTGTTGGAAGTTTTCATGGCCTTGACGACTGAGAAAGTTCACTTGAAACAGTTGTAACCAGATGCAGCTTGGTTGTAAGGTTGCGCTAAACCGTGGTTGAGAACTGCTTATAAGTCAGATAGCTCTAAGAATTGGAGTGCAATATTTTTCCTTGAAGCTTTTTTGCAGTGAAATATTCTGAGCAAAATTGATTAAGATATATCAGGCTGGGGGCTTGGCTTCACAGAAAATTGTGGAGTGAATTGATGAAAGTTCGGTAGTCGAAAGTCTTGAAAATTTGGTTGCAGAACATGGATTTTATTACTGCATATCTCACTCTTCCTTACATCACAAGTCAAAAGTAGACTGTAGACTAACGCAATGAAATTCCAGCAACCATCAAAGTGATGAAAGCTGACTCTTACTGATTCTTTTTCTGACTTACCCATCAGTTTTCTGTCTCTATACAAACTTCAATATCTTTAGTAGCAGAAGAGCTGAAAAACTGGAAATATAGTTCTTACGGGAGTGATCTTCTGATGATTCACATCGATCTTCTTGATTGATATACATCCTTAAATCATTTCAATTTATGGGAAAGAAAATTCTTTGCACGAATAGAACTCTTTTGACATGAGAGGTTTGTATGGTAGAAATATCCTCATTTTCTTTTGCAGTAAAATGAACACATAAGAAGAAAAAACAAGGTGCAAGTGTTGACTTTGAGATTTATACAGAAACCTATTGCTGTCTTAGGACTTCCATGCATGTAGAGCTTCATCTTAAGTAGCTGCTGGTGTTGAAGTTAAAATTGAATGATTTTTTGTAGGCAACTTTCTTACATTTTCTATTACTAAAGTTTATCTAGTCCATTGGGCAGCATTTCTAATACTCTAATTGTTAAACGGATGAATTAGAGCTCTTACGTGTCTTCAACATGTGTTAAATTCAGTTAAACTCACATGACTTTATAATTCCTTGGCTGCACCATCCATGACCATACGAGCGTGTCCTCTATCTTCCCCACCGTGCTTACGGCTCTTTACCCCAACCCAACTCGATCAACATCATTTTACTGTGATTAATATTCTTAAAATTCACTCAGAAGTCCTTGATTCGAATTTTGCAGGTTATTTTATCAATAGCAGAACATCACAGTGCTATTGTTCCTTGGCAATTTGTAGCTCAAAAGACTGGTGCAAATTTGAAATTTGTAAGTTTAACCGACAATGAGGTTCCTGATGTAGGAAAGCTGAGGGAAATGCTCTCAAAGAAGACAAAACTTGTTGTTGTTCATCATGTCTCAAATGTTCTTGGTGAGTGTTACTGTCTTGCGATCTCAATGCAATTACTCCATGAAAGCAAGAGAAACATCTCGGTGGAATAAAAATGAGATCTAAATTAGCTAGAAACTTGCTTTGACAGGCATAAATCTGTTTTTCATGTTTTATGTATTCGTTGGTTAGTTGCCCGTATCAGTTTTATGTTTGCACCTTGCAGATAAAAAACACTAGACCGAGTTTGTCCTTTTAATGGCCAATGCATGTGTTTTCGGAATCTTCGTGATGTTATTTATTTCCTAATGTTATTTCCATGGGCTATATGCATTTAATATCAGCTGGGATCAGTTTGTTTCATATATTAGAATGGTTCTTTGCAAACTGAACGTGGATTCACTTCCTAAACTGAATTCTTTAGAGAGCGTGACTGTATAGCCTGTTAAGATATAAAAATACAAAGTTACTTTGATTATCTCAAACAAAACAAACTGTGTATGGTCACCCAAAGTCCTGCTTTCAGGTTAGATCCTTTTTTTTTTCGACAGCTACTAGGTTCTTACTTTGGTGACATATCTGAATGAAATCATGCAAAATCACAAAATTGTTCGTGTTAAAGTTTGTTAATATCAATCCTTTATATATATGAGGTTCTTAAGTCTCCACTAGAGTACCAGGGTATCTATTATCATTTCAGTTCTATAAATTTTTACGTTCGTTCTTGTGATATGATCCTTCAAACCTTGGGAATATTCTAGATAATACCTAAAATGAAGAAGGCTCTGTTGAATTGCTAAATTTCGTTTGTTGAAATTCTTGACAGTGTAAAATTACTTAGGATGTGTTTGAGCCCCATTTTTAACCTTGGGAATATTCTAGATAATACCTAAAATGAAGAAGGCTCTGTTGAATTGCTAAATTTCGTTTGTTGAAATTCTTGACAGTGTAAAATTACTTATGATGTGTTTGAGCCCCATTTTTTTTTGTTGAAAATGAGTTTTGTAATAGTGAATTTATGGAGAATGTGTGATTATAAAGTAGAAAAAAAAGTTTTGGGTTTATATGCAAAATATTTTATTGTGAGAATGTGTGGGTGAAATGAGTTTGAGAAAAAATGAGTTTTTAGATAATGGAGATCAAACTGGGGCTTATTGTGTTCGGAAGCCACGATAAAAATTGCTTATAACAGTTGCACCTATTCATTGTTATATTTCATCTTTTCTCCAGCTTCTGTTCTTCCAGTCAATCAAATTGTGAGTTGGGCGCATGATATTGGAGCCAAGGTCCTTGTTGATGCTTGTCAAAGTGTTCCACACATGGTGGTCGACGTTAAGAACCTTGATGCTGATTTTCTGGTTGCTTCTTCTCATAAGGTTAAGTCTTTCCCATTTGCATCATATTCTTTAAGTCGTGTAAATGAGTTTTTGAAGTTAAGAAATAAACATGTTTCAGATGTGTGGGCCTACAGGCATCGGATTCTTATATGGTAAAAGTGAGCTCTTGTCTGCGATGCCTCCTTTCTTGGGTAAGCTAGGTTTTCAATAAGTAGCCTTTTTTTCTCCCTTTCGGATCTGAAAGAATTTAGATCAGCATCCATCTTAGTCTCTGGATTCCTATCAATGGGACCTTCAAGTCTTTTTCTGATGTTATTCTCATGTTCCCTGAATCACAGGTGGTGGTGAAATGATAGCTGACGTATTTTTAGATCATTCTACGTTTGCCGAACCTCCATCAAGGTTAGTTGATATTGTTTGACCTATCAGGGGCAGATAAAAGTGGATAGTTGGCTCTGCACCTTTGCTTCCATATATTGGAAAACAGGAATCTGATATATATTTAAAATTTGATGTTAAGACCTACTCGGAGGTCAACAAACAGAATATATGGTAGAGATGTTCTTTTTATTGCTTGCCATATTTGTGAGTTTCTATAAAAAGCACGATCAGACGTCGCATGCTTCATGGTGCACATGAAATCATCCGTGAATTCATGAAATTGTAGGAACTAGCGATATATTTAGGAATTGTGTCCCCTTTCTCACCTTGAAAAAATGGATGACCTGGCTAGATCTTCACTTGATGTTTTGTGAGCAGCTTTTTGTCCAAATTATCATTTTAGAACACTTCATGGAACATGCTGCATGATTTCCGTCTACTACACCTACCAGTAAAGGCCATTTTTGGACATCTTTCAAAGTGCATCAAATGTTATTAAGGAATCTTTCAAAATATTGTTCAAATAACATAGATATTCAATCAGGATTTAAACAGACAATGCTAGGTGCGATTGTCTGCCTTTGAGTTATTATTAGCTGTAATTTTTTAGTGTTTTTTAAAGTAGTTAACCTTGGCAAATGACAAGTCTTGGTATGCTTTCAAAATATAGTTTAGAAATTTGACATTAACCATTAGGCTTATACTAAAAGTTTATGATGGGTAAGTCGGCCTCTGTCATAGTTAGATATTAAGCCCCTATTTGGGCTCCATTTTATCTAAAATACATTTTTCTCTCTCCTATTTTTAACCACACTTTCTTCAAAAATATCACTATTCTAAAATACATTTTCCCAAAAACACATTATAATGGAGCCCAAACATGGGCTAATTATCGAAGACTTGCTGAGTTACTTGTTGCCATGAATTCAGTTCTACGACTGCTAACATCTTGTTCATCTAACAATGTTCTTGTCTACCTCAAAACTTGATTTACTGCCTCCAACTGCCTCTCTTCCACACCAACCAGGTTGAAGTTTTTGGGGTCTAGTTCATATTATTAGTCTTGTTATTACTTTGAACAGCCGATTATCTTGCAGCAAACTGCATTAGTGGATTTTGATGTGCGGTGATCTATTTATTTGTTGGTTGCCACTCGACCCATAATTGTCTTGGAGACCATAATTCTTCTTTGTTGATGTCCAAGTCTTGTTATAATTTGCTTTACCGTGATATCAGATTTGAGGCCGGAACACCTGCCATTGGGGAAGCAATTGGTTTTGGAGCGGCAATTGATTATTTATCAGGCATTGGAATGCAAAAAATTCATGATTATGAGGTGATTCATGATTCAAACTTCCTATCCTTTGTTCTAAAAGGGCATCTGTTTACCGTCTTGGATGTTGTTTATGACTTATGACTAGTTCCTCTTTCATTCTCTTTACATTTACAGGTAGACTTGGCTAACTATCTTTATGATAGTCTACAATCAGTACCCAACGTTCGTGTCTATGGCCCAGCACCGTCACAAGCTGTCGTTAGAGCAGCACTTTGTTCTTTCAATGTGGAAGATGTTCACCCTACAGATCTTGCTACCTTTCTTGACCAACAGGTACATGTACATCCTTCTTGGCTAAGCAGATTTGCCACTTTTTCTTTCTTCAAATGTTACAGTGAAAGAATGGGAGAATTTAGCAACTTCAGCATTAGTCCCCAACATGTTGTGTTAGTAGCAACTTGCTCCTCGACCTTTAAAATTTGGTCTATTAAATTCTTAAACTTTCAATATATTTAGAATTGTAAGCGTTCAGCTTTGTTTAAATTCTTTACCTTGCAGCATAGTATAGCTATTAGATCCGGCCACCATTGTGCTCAGCCTCTCCACCGTTATCTGGGAATCAATGCAAGTGCACGGGCAAGCCTTCACTTCTACAATACGAAAGAGGATGTTGATGACTTCATCGTAGGTCTCAAGGATACCATCAGCTTTTTTACATCTTTCAAGTGACAATTGTGAGAAAGAAAAAGGAGGGGCGGTGGCAGGAGTTCTGTTAAGACTACACACAGTGCTATCGCATGATTTTTTTTGTTGTCCAATTTGCGGAGAGTCCCCTTCATAAGAAATGTGGTGTACCATAGAGAAGTGTGGCTTCTGAAATTGATGTATTATACAATTTTTATCATCTTTTAGCTGTTTCTTCTCTCTCTGGCAGTATTTTTCTCATTTTCTAGCAAGAACTGGGGATTCGACGCCTATAATAAGATAGAAAAGAAAAGATTTATTATAGAATTTTGTATTCGTTTATTTCTTTTCCTTTAGAAGTTCATAAAAACTTTACTTCAAAATGCTAAATTTTAGCAGTGTGTTATTTTACTTGGTTATTCTTGAACTTGCCGTGTATATCAATTAGAATTATTGAATTTGACTTGATAGTATAATAAATAAAATTTACTTTTTAAAAAAAATTAGAAGTAAAGAACCATATTAACAAGTATGCAACAAAATTATTCATTTTATGGTAAATTATTCTCAACATTTGACCAACTCATCTCGACTATTATTTTGAACCGTTCGAACCTCGATATTTCTTCTTATCCTCGGATACAGTTTCCATCCATTTATGAGTTGAACGTGAAAAGTGCGCTGACATATTTGCCCTTTATAGCTTAGGGCGTGTTCGATCGTACTTAAAATTTAATTGAAATTGAAAATATAGTCGTTATTGGGTCTCACTCGTCTAATAAAAATCAATAATACCGACTAATTTTTCAATTTTAATCCGATTTTAATCTCTACCGAACACTCCCTTAATCTTAGTTAAAATATTTTTTATAAAAAAGGAGAGAAAAGGTGTTTCTTATTGGGGCAAATAATATATGAATGGGATTACTTTTTAGGCCTGAATCGTTTTCTGACTACTCAATGCTATTTGTGTAATTTCTCAGAAAACTAATGGCCCATAATTTACGGCCTCGTTTTTTTTTGTGGCTGGGCCTGCCATCAAAACCCTAACATTGTTGTAAATAACTGCGACTTCCCCCAGCTAGGGCTTTCTAGGCTGCATTCTGCAGAACTTAGCATCGAGCCACTCGATTTCCGTCTGTGTCTGCGATCAACCATGGTAATTGCAGCTTCCTTAAGCTTTCCTTCGCTGTTATTTTTTTCTAATTTCCTGTTTTTAGTTCGTTTATTTTAAGATCGGTTCGCCTTTCCTTTTTTTGTAATGAAGATATGATATGTGATTAAATGGACGTGTTTAAGCAATTGATGATTAAATGGACATGTTTAAGCTACTGTGAATTTTTCTGAATTATGTTGTCAATTCAGTGTTATTTTATGGTGACCAAAGACAGGAACGAAAAAATTCAGTTAGAGTGGGTTGCTTTTCACCTAGTATATTTTGTTTTTTTTTTTTTTGAGAATTTTCTTCTTTTTTTAGGCTTAATGGTTCTGTTTTCTTTGATGAATTCTTGCATCTTGTTTCGTGTTTTAGAGTTATTTAGGGGCATTTTATGGGGATCTAGGTGCAATGAAGAAATGAATAGAAGTACAGTTGATTAACTGTGTACATCTTATCAAAGGAAGATTACATGAACCAAATGAACTAGAACAACTTTTTTTTGCTGATGGATATTGAGTTTGAACTTCTTTCTACAAGCTTGCGGTGCTTCTGTATGCTATTGTTGATTTTAACCTTTCAATTTATGGAACTTATTTTCAACCCTTCGCGTTCTTGATTGTTCCTCTCTTGAATCTGCAAGAATTATTTTTGGTTGAGTTTAGAAAAATAGCTTATTATGCCAGCCCCCCTCTCTTTCGCTAATCACTCTAGATAACTATGTATGTTTTTTCCAAGTTCTTGATTCTTTACCTCCAAATTGCTTAGCATTGCTCCCCCATTGTTTTCTATTTATTTGTTTATCTTTAGTTGCTGCTTGCTGTTCACATTCTAAACAGTTTGAAGCACTAGGTTTACTTCTATATGTGCCATTTCAGTATATTCTGCTAATCATTTAATTTTTGACTGCTGCATTGTTTCATGCTTTTG